GCCGCAAGAGGGCTTCTGCTTGACTGTTTTGCATCCTTGGAAGGTGGTGTGCGGTTAGCTCCACAATGTATTCCAGGTATCAAAGGAGAATTTGTTCCACCAGAACTGACAGCGATGGGGATGTGGGTCTCCCCTCCTTGTTGATATAGGAGACCACTGATGTGTTGTCCATGCGAAGTAAGAATCTGTGGCCTCAAACTATGGGTAGAGAGTGTATCAGTGCTAAGTGCACTCCTCTCAGTTCAAGCCAATTGACGGCCGTGAAACCGATACAGAGGCCATATTCTTGGTCTTGTTCGTCCAATAGCTGCACTTCCCAACCTGCCATAGCCGTGAGGTGGCAATTGCCATCTACCAGAGCAAGGCATCCCTTGCTTGGTCCAAGAAAGTTACTCGCCTCTCCAGTTCTTGTAGGTGAGCCAGGTGCTGCAACAAAGTGTGCTGTACCGGGCAGTTGCATAATGCAGATTGGGGAACTTCACTGCAAACTCGTCGTCTAGGTATGGGTTGATGTGTACCGATGCAGCCATAGCACCTCCTGTTTCAACACTGTATGGAGCCATGCAAAACCCCGAAGGGGAGCACCCTGAACTCGAATTCCTAGCCCAAATGGGCGATTCAAAGGAGTTGCTGACTCACTAGGTGGAACCACAAACACTTGCGGATGGAGGCTCAGACTTATCGCCAGGTTCTCTATCTTGTGTATAGTGTAAGCTTTGTAAGCAAACTGTCCAACTCCTGTCAGATTCCTTCAACTATGCAGGGATCCCCTGACACCCCCAGCTGGATCTTGTAACCGTGTATAACCACCAGAAGAGTCCAGGAATCGGTTATGTGCTGCCTCAAAGCTGGAATACACAAAAGCAATCTGTGTGCGATAAATATGGCCATGGGTTCAGCAGTTCTACATCAGGGGTGATCTTTCCTCCATCAAGATGAGACCCTGTGAGGCCTGTACAATTCAAAAGGTTCAGACTCCTGCTGAACATATTGTTGCAGGCTGAAGCATCGAACTTGCTTCCCCTGCAAGCTGGGTGGGTGACCATCCGAGGTCCCTCCCCTGGAAGAGCCGGGATGCTTGCCTCCTGTTTACTTCTGGCCAGTGGGTGCTGACTTTGGTCATTACGTTTTCTCAGCTTGGGGTCCTTTCTGCTTGCCCTTGGCAGCAGCCAAACTGGCTCACGGGTTTCACCTGTACCAACTCTTTGGTGGGATCCTGTAGCATGAGACTGCTCCTTCCATTCTCAAATCAAAGCGAGTGGAGGAGGTCAACTGCGTAACTGAGGCAGTGACGCACCATGTGACTCATTTCACACAAAAACAGCCCAAACAGCAGATATCCAGCATAGCCTTGTGGTGTCCCAATGACTGTGTCTGCTAGTCTATGAGGCTGGTGCATTCTGCTTTTGACACTTCATAGTGCTAGAGGTGAAAAAACAATGGGTTCCAGTGGGCCGGCCACAAAATCAAAAGGTAAGGGTCGCAACTAAGGGCGTGGATTGTTTCTGACTGAACTGCCAAAAGATTCCATAAACGCATCCATCCCCCTTTGCCTGTCCCATGAAACAAAATTCAACCAGGGTTGGGAGAAGGAACCAAGGGAACTGGTCGGTATGCGTGATTTAGCTCCAGACTCTATTGGCTTTGGTATCAAACACCTCATCAATCGAGTAGAGCTTGGTCCAGTGTAAAGGGTTAAGCATGAGATTGCCTCACCAAGGTCCACCCACCAACACCATCTGTGGTTCCACTATGTTCAGCACTTGGCTGGACCTTGAGAGTCAAGCAGTCAGTGTTGCTTTGGACCCCATCGTCTGTATCCCTGAAGCGACAGCACTACCGAGAGTGACTGCTCCAGGATCGAGGGTGGTCCATGCTTTGGCATCACCAAGAAATCTTGCAAACAGATCCACATTCTACCATAGCCCAAAGTCAGAACTCAAACTGGGAAGGAAGTATGATGATATGATGGCGAGTCAAAGGCTTCAATTCTTGAACGCTATTCGCTGGAGAACAGACTTCTTAACATGTCATAATATGTCGGGTATCGAACATTTCTCCACACACTAGTTAGTCCATGGCTTTCGATTGTGAATGTCATACATTAAAATATGTTTATGTTGTATGTTGTGATGGTGGTGGTGTTTTATGTTTATAACTAAACATTGACAATGAAATAAACTTACATCATTGAGTTTTCAATGCATTCTGACAGGATAATAAGATGTGCTGAAACGTGCCCGCTATCTTGAACTTTGCTATGGAGCTGTGAATTCTGATCCTTACTGAAACAAAAGAACTGAGGGCGCTATAACAAAATCTGGCGAAACTAGTGTATAGCATATTATCAGATACATTTGCATATTCATCCAATATGTACTTGCCATGCACAAACGCCCATAAAAACTACTTGAATTAATGTTTTTAATGTGTAGTCGAAATTTGTGTATGGAAATATTAATTTAAATATATTAACACCTGTCCATTTAAATTGTAATATCCACATGCAACCCCGAAAAATAAAGTAATAACATTTAGATTTTGTAAGAAAAGGAGTTAAACCATTTTTGCGTGTGTTGTAACATTTGACAACAGACTAATATTGATGTGTATTTTTTCAAAAAGTAAAGAGTTTTAATCAAAAAGTGTTTAAATATGCACATCATCCTTAATTTCAGGTACTAGTATACAGGCTTTGAACGTCTGCATCAGATTAAATATACACCACCAGACTAAGATGTTGATGTCGGTAAAGTTTCAATCCAAGGTTGCCACGAAAGCATTTGAGAGAAGACAACTCTAACAGAAATATCCGTGTTAAAATATAAATGCAAACAATGTAATGTGATCAGGCAAATATGTAATACAATAACATTCCACAATTATTTAATCAATGTTTAAAAGACTTCATTTTAAAGAGGACGGTTGTCATCTGCGCATGCGCGGGAATTGAGTCCCAAGCGATGATAACAGCACATGGTAAAACGCAAAGGCTCATGGGTAGACGCATGTTTGTAAACATTGACACGCTATGGCCACCTGACGCATGCGCAGGTGACGACTCCCCCGCCTTAAGATTGAATAAAATTATATCATATTACACAAAATTCCCATGGTATAAATTGAATATACTAGTAATAAATTTATTTGTAAATACTAGTTACAAAATGTGCAAATTAGAACAAGTTTAGAACTTGACTCAACACAAGGATACCATAGACCCCGCTTTTTGGCTACACACAATATCTAATCGTTATGATAAAATACATGTTTACGTTGTAAAATAGCATACCCCCCTAAATATACGTTATCCTACATTTCAATCACCATTTAAATACAACGACTTATCTGCGGGGACGGACACCCGGGCATTTACACAGCCTGGCAACCATCAAGGTGAAAACAAAGGCCGAAAGCTCCCAGAAAACTGTACTTTGGGATAGTTATTGAGACTCCCCTGAACAGTGTAATAAGATTACCCGTATATATGTGTCAAGGTATTTTTCACCGCTAAATAGTGTTAAAAGTGAAAGTCCATGCGTGGGCGTTGGCCACACTCAATTTAATGCAAGGAACTTGACCCTCCCAGAGGATACATGCCAGAAAACATATGGGATTCTATTTATTTTAGAATACTTGAAGTCACATAGCCATGTATGGCAATGGGCAGTTAGAATATACCAACCTAGAAATATTTCATTGGCTCTCCCAAATGAAAGCCAACCTTCTTATGTTTTACGAGCCATGGCCTATTTAAGGGCTAGTAATATTGTACTTGGGTTTTCTAATGCTTACGAGACAATACTTTCATTAACCAGGTATTTATAAATAGTTATTATATCGTGAACTACATTGGTTGCTTGTTGATTGAAATGGTATTATACTGGCGTCTTCACATTACCTAAATAAGAAGATTATTGCAATGTGCAATATATATACACTCGGATGCTCAGGATTACTTCAAAGTTGACTTTGTGCTGTTTTCTCGACTTCAGACTTTTTCACAGGCTGTTCGACCGACGTTCCACAGCAGCTCGCGCAGAACCCAAAGAAATACTTGGTACAGTGGTGTGCGTCTTGGCAACGTGGAACGTCTTCTGACGTAGCTCCGCCCCGAGGATAACGATTACTAAACCGATGATTACGATATAAAAATAATAATTCAAATAAATTACATGTAATCCATGCAAATTATAAAAAACAATGTTTGGTTGCACACCATTGGTCATGTGCTTGGTTCTTTACTACAAGTGAAATTGTCCAAAGCAGTTTAAATATTACAATTACGGTAACAAAATAGGCTCGCGAAGTTACTATCTTACCAGTAATGGATTACACACAATATAAACTGGATGGCATCGTTTTGGTGCACAAACCAATAAGAAACAACCTCTACCAAAGTCACATGCACACGTGCAACCAAGGTTCAGACTTATGACCAATTGCAGGGCAACCCTTGACCATGAGCCTAAGCAATCCTGGTGAGCCGGTCGGGGTCACCGACAGTCAGTGAACTTGCTTCAAAATAGAATATGGAATTACAAATCTGATAAAGTAGGAAATTACAATGAGATATTAAATACTTTACAAGTACACTGAATGAAGAATTAACTCATTACAAATAAAAAAAATGTTTTCTCTAATATCATTCGCTCTCTATAGACAAGACCGTATATACAAAAAGTGTAAACTGCATACAAATCACTCAATATTTACATAACCTACAAGTAGAAAGCTTGGTAATATAAGTTACTTGTTGATATCATATGGGATATAGTTCGTATAATAATAATGTTCATTAAACGACTAATTGCACGTGTAAAGTATTGAAAACTATAACTAGACGTACGTTGTCATAATCTTAATTACTATTAATTAAAAAAGTTTGCTGACTGTTGTCGATACTGCATTACGCAGCCGAGTTCATCGTTACTCATAATAAACTATAAACACTAGCGTCAGTTTCAAAACTTAGTCGTTAGGGGTTTCTTCGGGGGTTGTAATTCGACACAAGGCGCTGCATCCGTATAATGTCAATCAACCAGCCGACACCAAGTACTCCTAATGTGAACGCGTAAAACACGCACCATTTTTTACGACCAAGATACAATTGATGAATACCTACAAAATAGCAAACATAGAAATATCAACAGTTGTCTCATATACTTGTTTATACCATCACAACCGATGCTACAAATTTAATAAATAAAACAGGTTTCTCATATTGATAATGCTGACTTCTCACTCTAAATGTATGCCTGCTATTTCAAAACCAAATGCAAATATTTGCTACCTAAACAAAAATAAAATAAATAAATCTCGATGCTGCCTCAGCTGACATGAGTCGCCTCGGGCCGGCCAGCAATCTTCCACGCAGAGTTTTATTTCTACGAATATATATCTGCTACCAGAAAGCGTAGATTCTGGCTGTCAGAATCTTTTTTTTTATTTTCCGTGGCACAAACGGGATGGCAGTAGAACGAGTTAACCGTTAATACCATGAAGTGATTTCTTTTGTTGACAGGACTGTCAGCTTGAATAACCGAGTATTTTGGGGGGGGGGGGTAAATTATAACTATTTCACCCTTTTCTTTGCTTTTACAAAAAATATCATTATCAGTAAAAAGAAATCCTAGAATTTCGAGTGTTTTTGTTATTACAGGACTCTCGTGTTGATGTATTAACACTGGTAAGTTTTAAATTATCTGTTTGACAAGTCATGGAACATATGTCACCATATGACTCAAGTCTGGTTTTTGGTACTTTGAGTAATTGCTTGTTGCTAAAGCGAAGAGATCTACCAGGATTACTTTGTTGTATGAAATCCGAAATGTACGGTGGAGCCAATGGATATAGAGCTTTGTATTAAGTAATGAGGAGTACTTTGAATTGGATTCTGTGACTGGAAGCCAGTACAACTGTTGGAGTATTGGTGTTATATGATCAAACCTTTTTGTGTGAGAAATGTGACGAGCAGCACTATTATGGGAACTTTGAATTATGGGATTCAGCCCAAATTGTAACTCGATGTTCAATTAACAGTTAACAGAACTTCGAGTTATGGGCAATCTATATCTTTGTTGTTGTTGAACATCCAAATTTAGTAACTTTACTGTTATCATTTTCCACCCATTCCATACTGTTTGTAACCTAGTTGACCCATATCTTAGAGTACCTTAATAATTTTACAGGAATTATTGACTCATATCCAGCAGGTATAAACTGATGAGAAGATGGTCGCACTCGAAAAGATATGGTTTCAAAACGTCAGTAGCAGTGGGTAACATTCAATCACACAATCATTATTATCTCAGTCAATCTACGCCTAGAACCCCTACAGACCCACCATTCATCTCTCCTACAAGCATGGGTGCAACTAACTTTATCTCGGTCACCAATAATAATTTGTAGCAATGTGGTCCTTTTTAAATGCATCACTGAACCCTCGGCCTGTATTAGATATTGACCAGTATCAACCAGACAGGGACTTCAACTTTTAAAATGTTATGAAACAGTTTGTCAGAAATTTAAGCATCATCATTTTGACCTTTCACCCATTTGTTAAATTTGTTTTCAGTATAAATTGTTGTTGTCCAATTGCTGCACATATAGTACTCTCTATTAAAGCACCCTCTAGCTATTTTATTATATTCAGTGTATAGCGCCACCTAGTGGCAGCAGATTTGCACTCTGCTTCAGTTTTTGTTCCCCTGGCTGTTTGGTATTTTGCCTTTGTTCTAGAAGTCCGTTTATGGTGATGGCAGGCCGTCATATACGCAGTTGCTCCACCTGCTCAGTTCCCATAACTTCACACAGTGGTCGGGCGGGAAGCGTTTGGCGACTCAACAGTGAAAGTTTTTTTATGTCTGTGGAACAGCCACAAAACAAGATGGTGATGTTAAAATCCCGTGATTCGACACTACGAATGTCGGCCCCCAAACAAGACAAGCACGCCTCCTGACTCACTAGCTGAGAACAGAAGGTAATGCTTGATTCTATAAGACAATCTAGAACCGGAGATCGAATTACAATGACAAATGCTCAAAAACAGTAATTTGAAATCAGCAACAGCTGTTCCCGCCAAATTCATCCAAGCTAAAACCATCCGTTCTAAACATGACGACTCCATCTTCAAAGAAAACAATAAGCAGCTCAAATTAGCAGACCATAACTCATCATCAGACAGCACCACTGAATCTTCCAGAAATACAAATACATCAAGCCAAGATAATACTGCCATCAAACAAACCCGATGTAGCTATTAGATTATGAAGTTTTCAATTTTAAAGCCAAAAAGCAAAAGCTCAAATTGAGTGTGGCACGTTGTAATGTTTTCACACAAGTCCAACCAGTGAGGCGGAAATAGCTTTTATTCACTCACACGATGTGTTTCATACAGCCCGCCATTACAAGAATGTCGTCAAACCAACCAATAGCTTACATCACGTATTAGGGGTCATCTCCAGTGACCTACAAGTAAGGGGCGTCTCACAAATACGTAAGTATAAGCATACATTACACTTCCCCCTTTTTAAGCTGAGAACTTGTACAATAGAATCTCAAAGTTCAAATGTTCTTTGCCTACTTTAACAAAACAACAACAATAAATGTTAAATCCTATCATCAGAGGGGAGGGGTTACTCGCACAAATCACCCTCAAATGGGTCCTCAGCATCCATTTTCCCTACTCTACAGTTTCGGTTTCACAATATTCATCCACATCATGGATATGGGTATATTCTTTGAACTTTGAAAACATCAAATTCATGACAGTAAAAACTCACAAATCTAAACGAACTGGTGGTTTTCTTATGCGTGTAGAAACCCTCAACATTGGTTTGGGTGTAGGTACAGGTAACAACGGTTTACTAGGAGAAGCAAGTGGTTCGATCGGAATCTGTTTACTTACTAAATTTTCCCCTCAGCATGCATCTCTCTGTCATCATCATGTGTAGAAAGGGAACTATACATGTTGTAACCTGTACTAAACCATACTTTAGATAATCTAACATGATCAGTGTGGCGTCTCACCTCACGACCATATTCTAATCTAACTATATAAGAAGAAGCATTCTTCTCTACTACCCTACCATTTAACCAATGTGGACCTGGCCTAAAGTTGCAGACAAACACAGTCATTCCAACTTCAAACTCTCTGGACTTTGTATGCGTGTCATGCCCAGATTTTTTGCTTTGCTTGAGCATGAAGTACAGTTGATCGCTCATTTGGTTTTGGTTAGACCAAATGTGTCCTTAATTTTCGTCCCATAAGTAGCTCTGCAGGCGTTTTACCTGTCGTAGAGTGTGGCGTCACTCAATATTTGAACAGAAATCTTGACAACTTTGTTTCCACACTCTCACTACAAGGCTTTTTCATTCCTTTCTTGAACGTCTGAATCGATCGTTTTGCCAGGCCAAATGGATAATACCATTTGCATTCATAAATGCTTGAAAATTACTGCTTGTGAATTGGGAACCGTTGTCTAATACCAGTGTAGTTGGTAATCCCTGTGATGAGAACAGTCCTCTCAGTTCATTTATTGTAGCTTCTGATGTTGTACTAACCATTGGAATTACCTCCATCCACTTGGAATAAGCGTCAGTCACAATGAGAAACATTCGGTTCAGGAAAGGTCCTGCGAAGTCAATGTGAACACGATCCCAAGGTCCTTTAGGATATTCCCATGGATGCATGGGCGTTGTGGGTGGTAGTTTAGCATTGATCTGGCATGCATTACAACTCTGCACAGTAGCTTCAATATCCTTGTCCAGATATGGCCACCAAACAGAATTTCGTGAGAAGGCCTTCATTCGGACAATTCCAGGATGAGACTCATGTAGTAATCTCAGAATGCGTAATTGGCCCTGTGCTGGCACAATCACTCTACTTCCCCAAAGAATGACACACTCAATTCTGTTTCGCGGACAAAATATGGCTTTATTTCTGATTCATTCGCCCTTATACTCGCTGGCCATCCATGATGAATAAATCATTGAATACGTGATAGGACTGGATCACTGTCTGCCCATTTCTTAATATCACTTGCAGTCACTGGTGAAACATCTAAGAACTCCATTAATAATACAGTATCTGTTGGCATAGGAATTTTTAGAGGACTTTCGGGTAGCGGAAACCTACTTAGTGTATCTGCATTACCCATCAGTTTTCCGGGTCTATACACGAATGTGTAGTCATATGCAGACAATGTTAAACTCCATCGTTGTATTCGTGGTGAGGTCATAATTGGTACACCTTTAGCTTCATTAAATAATGATAGTAAGGGTTTATGGTCACTCAATATTTTAAAGTGCCTACCAAAGAGATAATTATGAAATTTCTTAACCCCAAATACAACTGCAAGTCCCTCCTTTTCGAGCTGTGAATAGATTTTTTCTGCTGGTGCCAATGTACGCGAAACAAATGCGATTGATTTCTCTGAGCCTGTGAGAGAGTATGGCTCCAATACCATAAGGAGATGCATCACATGCAAGTAACAAATCCTTGCTTGGATCATAATGAACCGACAACCTTGAAGTATTGAAAGTAAACTCTTTGGATTTCCTGAAAGCATCATCCTGTTTTTTACCCCAGATTCATTTTGTGTTCTTGTTTAGTAACAGGTGTAGTGGGCTAACACGGTAGATAGATTACCCACAAAACGACCATAGAAATTGAGAAAACCCAAATAGAACTGTAATTCTGTGACATTACGTGGAATGGGTGCTTCCATTATCCTTACTTTCAACAGGATGTAACCCTTCAACATCAATTTTGTATCCTAGGTATTCTACTTCTTTTGCATTGAAAATACATTTTTTCTTTTCTTGCTTGAATCCCCACTTCTGATAACTTGCACAGAACTGTCTCTACATTCTGCGAATGTTCAGATTCTGACATGTGGTATACCTTGCAATAGACTGTCCATACATTTCTGCCATATCGACGGTGATAAAGAAACACCAAATGGGAGGCGGTTATACTGGAAGAGACCACGGAGTGTATTTATTGTGGTATATTTCTTGGTTACTTCATCCAGAGGAAGCTGTAGATATGCATTGCTTAAGTCAAGCTTGGTAACAATGTAGCATATAAATCTTCAATTTTTGGCCTTTGACACCTGGTTTATCATTACCTTGTAATCCCCACAAATACGGAGAGTTCCATTACCCTTCAGAACAGGGACAATAGGTGTGGCCCAGTCAGAGAACTCTACTGGCTCTATGATTCCATCACGGAGAATTCGATCCAATTCTAAGTTAACTTTTGTTTTCATCGCATATGATACTTGGCGAGGCTTGAAGAATTTCGGTTGAGCATTTGGGTCTACATGAATTTTCCCTGACATTTTCCTAACAGTGCCTAACCTTTCTTGAAAGACTTCAGCATACTTGTCCACCAGTGTTTCATGAAACTGTGAACTCTTAATATGACAATATCAGCCCATTTTAGCTTTAATACCTTCAACCAATTTCGGCCTAATAAATTTGCACCACATCCTTCAACTACTAGGATTGGAACAGTAGCACTTTATACCTAGCATGAACATTCATTGCACCCAATACTCTGATTTTCTCACCTGTATATGTACTAAGCACAGAGGTAGATTTACTAAGAGCTGGTATTTTACCTAAAACATTAACATACGTTTCTACACTCATCAGAGACACAGATGCCCCAGTATCAATTTGCATGGTTACAGGTTATCATTTATCTGAAAATCGACCTCTAGAGGGCGCACTTTCTTCTTGATCTTACCCCACAACATTGAAAAGTGTATAACTAGTGTCAAGAGTTTCTGAACTAATGTCACTTTGTACTAAGTTTGTTGCATATTGATCATCCTTTCGTTTCCATGCTTGTTTACCATGTTGTTTACTTCTGCATGCTTTGGCAATATGTCCTTTCTTGTGACAATGATGACATTCAGAATCTTAGTCGTTTGTGTTCGATCTGCTCAGTTGTTTGCAGGTGACGACTCCCCGCCTTAAAAGCGGGAGGGTCGTCACCTGCGCAAGCGCGGGAATTGAGTCCCAAGTGACGATAACAACACACGCTAAAACGCAAAGTCTCATGGGTAGACCCTTTTTTGTAAACAATGACACGCTATGGCCTTCCATGGCCATCTGACGCATGCGCAGGTGACGAATCCCCCGCTTTAAAAAGCGGGAGGGTCGTCACTTGCAAAATAATGTATTTTGTTTCCTCTGAAAACAGACGACCACTTTCGATTCACGTGTAATTTGTGGCTGTGATATTCTGTGTATATACCAAAGCATGAGCTACTCAGTTGGTGGCTATCATAGAAACTGTGGTGACAACACGAGTATGCAAAGATGGTGTTATAGCAGTTATAGTTTGTGTCAACCAGGGATGTACTTAATAGACGTGTTGGTAATATACCACAGGTGTTGTTAGTATTTACTACCTCTATTCTCAGTCATATTCTCGCTCAGTGACGGAGCTACGTCACATAATATATTACTCAAACTCACACCTCTGCACAATGTATTCCTAGTAGAAGCTCTCCGCGAGCTTCTGTGAAACGCCGGTCGAAGAGCCGGTGAAAATAGCTTAATTGCAAAAACAGCAACCCAAATTTATATGTTGCACATGTATTGTAGTCTTATTACACTGTTTAGACTCAGACTATTGTATTACTAATCTGAGGTTTAGAGGAGTCTCAGCAACTATCCAAAGTACAGTTTTCTGAGAGTTTCCGGCATTTGTTTTAATAAGTGATGACTGTCAGGCGGTGATAATGCTCGGGTGCTCGCTCACTGCCGTGCACATAATACCATTGAAGTCAAGTGACCATTGAAGTCACGTGACCTACACAGTCATCACCCTTAGAATTTAACAAGCCTCGGGGAATATGTGACGGTGGTATATCAATGAAACCTTTATATGTTTTGAATAAAGCAGTATTACCAAAGCACAAGTAAACACGTCACCATCATATGATCCATGATCATCACTTTCGGTTTCGATGTTTACTTCACGTTTTACTGTGTCGTCATATGTCAGCCATAACTCAACAATAAATTCTAGAACTATTTTAAACAAAACAATTTAACTTTAAAATTCTTACAACAGTACAATCAATGTAGTAACGCAGTGACAATGGCGCTAATTAAGGTCAGGGGTCACACGCAACAAATTAACTGGGCCTAGACAATTAGAAATCGCAGCCAAAAATTCAATCAAAAACGAGTCAACCTATCCCATTGCTACCACCAGATGTTATGGAAATCGTTAACCTGTAATTTATGGTGGACCCCCCCCCCCCAATAACATAAGTATGATCACGCACTGACTCTCTTACCCACTGGAATTATTCGAGGATTGACAGCTCGACTAGAAAATTATAAACATTTAAATATCCTGAGTATAATGGAAGTCAAAAATTGACAGCTTACCTAGCCATCCAAGTGGTATCACTAGAATATAGGCATCATCTAGCCTTTTTACAGACTCGTCTTGGTTTACAGCTCTCACAAGCCATGGCAGTCTGATTATGTCGACAATCCAACCAAATCCCAATGCCCCGAAAGTTAATAGATAAACGATTCCGAAAAAACGTCGGCCTAAATAAAAATGGTGCAGTCCCAGCCAACCAAATGGAATGCACAGTATGTATGCATCACCAATACTATAATCACCATTTTCAAAAAATAGACTCCTGAACGTATCGCTAAGTTTTGTCATTTTCGTACGGAATTATGAACTAAACATGTAGTGACGCAGATAGTATAGCTTTTGAATGCCTTATCATGCATGTCACATGATTGAAAAGTGATTTTCCAACTAATTTGCATAGCTATCAAGCACCCGGACACACGCAATTCAAATAGATTTCGGCAGATTAATAAGGTTTCTTCATTTTAACCATGTTATTTGAGAATATTTATATATTAATACCTTATCAGGTTAAAATTTTGCACACAAGTAGATTGGCACTGAGGCGATGTGTAATCAAGTTTTTTGCTGACTTAATAACTTCTACGAGCGCCGTCTATAGACCACTTTCCCGGAAGTAGCAACTAAGCAAGACTGGGGTGCAAAAATACCATTGCTTTATCAGGATATACAAACAGGACATACAAACAAGATATACAAACATTTCAGTTTGTTGCTAGTCTCTTGATTTGTTATACTGACTTTCTCTCATTACAATATACATATTGCTATTAACCAATAGAAAATGTTAATTCTAAATGTAAAATAAAGATATTATTATTTATTATTATTATTTAAACTGATCACTGTGAGAGCGTCAATGTGTTTGCTTTTGAAATAGTACGCCTCGAAGCCGACCTGCAATGTCAAGTCTGAAGACATCAGCCTGACATTGTTTTCTACCTTACTTTAAATTATTACATATACGTCGTTTCATGTCGTATTGTTCTTTCCTATTTTTCAATGTATACGACGCAACAATCTCCTCGTCATCTGCGTTATCCTATATGATGAATCACTATTTATTTACATTCATAGCGGGACACGTCTGGGCACGAGAGGTCAAAGATGTAAATGGCCGTTTAATTACAGTTATTCTTTTTCTTTTAACAAGCACGGTAGGCAAAAGTAGTGAACTGTGTGCCAGTATAATACTATAATGAAAGATGAAAAATAAGTTATTACTATGAATATGTGTACTAATATTAATAACTTATTTATTTATAAATGTGTACACAAATTGTTTTATTAAAATCTCAACAAGTAACTTGAATTCATTACAACTACGGAAGATGAGTCGTACTATCTAGCAGGAAGAATGATATCTCTTGTACATGGGGGGGGGGGCTGCTTTTTTATTTCAGAAACCTTGTACAACAGTCTTGTTCAAGGTGAAACCAAATATATATCTGTTTGTTTATTCTTGTTTTCAATCAAATTTTAATATTTATCATTTGACTATTGGTCACAATATCCACAGATTAGTGTAAAACATCACTCACATATATGGCCTTGTAAGCATCACAATATTCCTGTTAAAGGTCATCATTGTTCTACATGTACGTCATGTTGTTCATATATGATATGATATGACAGCATAGACTCCCATTGTGTGTTTCACACACAGAAGTCAAAGTTTTACTTTTGAGAATTGATAAATTTACCAATTCTCTAATGTGTTTTTACGAAAATGAACTTGTACCAGTAATAAAAACAAGTTTATTAGTTTAAGATTGATCCAGAATTTAAGCTGGCTACCGTTTAATTCTGAAATAGATTTGTGGTAGTAACTTGCAATTACTTTTGGGTTACTATTGGTGCTAGCTGCTTGTGCCCATATGACCTTCCTTCAATATCTGTATTGAAAAATATCATTGTTTGAATTAAATGGCATACTGATAGTATATAAGGTTATCATACAAATGTGCATTAACTTTAACTTAATGTCATTGAGCAATATATAATGACAGTTTAATGTGATAGATATACTGAATACAAATTTGTTGATTTCTTAGTATTGGATTTATTATGTATTAGTGTATTGTTCGGAATGAGGATTGTGCATTATCAATTAACTTGCCCCAAATAAATAATTGGTAATTGCAAGGGGTCATAATGATTTTTGGTTGTTTTTCTATCGTTGCTTAATATGACAGGAAATGTTTAAGCACATGCCCTGTTTGTTGTACATGCGAGGTTTAAGATGAAAGAGCACAGAACAAAATATAACTGCAAACAATGACCAGGGTGGTTAGCCTGAAAATGACTTATATGTTAGGCATTTTGAAAAGATTAATTAGCTCATCCATTAAAAATTTGAAAAGATTTGGTTGAAAAAACAACTCAAAGTCAACTAAAGAGAGCGCGGACATATTAATAAGTGACTGTTGAAACGTGCAAACACTAATACCACATTGATCAATATGCCATGTGACATTTTTGTTATAGTCTATAACTTATTTTTCTGTGCTTGTGAAACTGTGTAGGACAGTTGTGTTTAATTACAACTACTTAAACAAAACAATTCATTTATACTTGAACAAAGAACAGAAAATGGATTGGTGGAGATGAAATGACAAAATACTTGCTTCAAGTTCATTATTAAGCAAATTAACTCATGATGGTATTAACACACAGTTAATGCAGTTGTTGGAATACAATAGTTTTTCAATGATTATAATGAATAGTATAGTCATAAATTATATTTCACCGGTAACAGGGGGGGGGGGCGCAACGCCGAATGGTCAGTGGGATATATATCAGACAAGATTGAACAGTAAATACAAGTTCAAAAGACACGAGTCCGGTCTAAGGCTAAGTACGGAGATGGACCTATCAAGTCCATGGGCTAAGAGAGTGATAGAGGGACTGCGGTTAAGTACTGTCCAGACGCTAAAATTACTGCCTGGTGCAACAACACTTGACCGTTTAGGGCAAACCTACCTTCTCCTGTGCAGTGGCGGATCCAGAGGGGGAGGGGGGATATGCCTCCCAAACGCATGACGGTTCATATCATCTGGATTACGCATAGCTTCTCTGCGATTTACGCTCCGTAATTTTAAGCGACGCTTGCACCCCCCCCCCCCCGCCAATACATTTTGCTGGATCCGCCACTGCTCCTGTATACGTGAATCCATCATCTGATTGTTGTTGGAAAATAAGAGATTTAACGAAGTCACTATATTGAGACAAGAACTTCACGGATTCACGCCCTGGTCGCCATTCCTGTTCGACTGTACCATTTTCTTTGCGAGGGGTTGCTGCTTTGATTGCGTAGCGTAAGTTGCAGAGTCAGCGCAAAACGAATTCCTAAACTTGCTTACATGTCGCGGAAGTTGCTGAGTTGGCGCGGAAGTTGTTAAGTCGGCGAAAAACTTGCTCACATGTAGCGGAAGTTGCTGAGTCGGAGCGGAAATTCCTAAGTCGGCGAGAAACTTGCTTACATATCGTGGTAAGATGCTAAGTCGGCGCGGAAAGTTGCTGAGTCGGCGCAGAAGTTCAAGTTGGTTATATATCGATGATTGTCGCCATGGGCCACCGTATAAACTAAATGCACGTACTACTCATGAGCCACTAATTTTCATTTTAGTTAAAGCGGGAGAGTCATCACCTACGCATGCGTCAGGTGGCCATAGCGTGTCATTGTTTACAAACAAACGTCTACCCATGAGCCTTTGCGTTGTTAGCGTGTGTTGTTATCGTCGCTTGGGACTCAATTCCCGCGCATGCGCAGGTGACGACTCTCCCGCTTTAAGTAAATCCATAAACAATTAGAAAAGTATTTAATGTTGTGCCACCGAAACTGGTCCGTTTCATAAAGGCGGAGTAGATGGGAAAACTAGTCAACTAATCTAAATACGAGAAAAAGTTAACGTTTTTGATATAAGATGGAAGAATGACCACCCATAATCAGCCAATCTAGACTTAGTAATATTGAATCATTCAAACCAATGTATATAACACTAATATATTGTATTACTAGTGATAATGTCTGGATGAATGTTCTTCTGGGAAACTAAGTTAAGATTATTTCAATGCGATATACTAAATATTTGCTGGAAGGTGATTATATGAATTGAAACAATAATACTAACAACACGCTTTGTGAAATATAACTACGAACACATCGTTCCTTTTTAGTATAAATATTAGAAATGCTATTCTAAACTGTAATGATATTTAGTCCAAAAATATTAACTGTCTATTAATGTACCCATATAATACAATTTTCGATTCGATGTAAATAACGGTCAAAAACTGTTTTTGAACAATCGATATTCTATTTTAGTATATTTTCAATATTCTATAGCTAATAAATTATTTTATTCGGTAGTAGTATTGCATTTGCTACGCTCATTGTGGTGAAAGGCGGCCAAGTGTATTCTAGATAATGGTCGATTAAAAAGTGGGAAGTTGGACGAAATGAGGCTGTAGTTCAAGTGACATTAGCGTATTTCTAATTTAGTTTTAACACATACAATATTTATTCACTCACTGTTTACTATAGCTAGAACGCTGTATGTTTTTTCACTTTCAGGTTAGTTCTTCTGCAGATTTCTAGCAACCAACAACGTGATTTTTTATTTGGGATTTCGCAAAACTTAACATGAATCGTTATGGCATTCATAACACAGCACCTCTCCATGTTTCAACTTTTAAGTTGTCAGTTAACAAGGTCATTCATAGTAGCACTTCTATGGGATTGATGTACTAGAATGAATTGGTTTAATTATCGTTGTTCACTGATGACATCATTGACTGGCCCTCTAGAGGCGAAATGACGCCTGGCAAAGCGGACTTTTGTCGTCTGCTTCACAGCCCGTTTTATACCCGATATTTAGGACATTTCGCAGCACATACAAGTTGTTTTTATCGACAGAATTCATTCATAGATCTCAAATTACATGTACAGATTGTCAAGCCAGACCTCTGCTCCCCTTAAATTGCTTCAATAACGTACCGTTTTCGTAGTTTATGCAGTGGGGTGTGCCAGCTGGTATCTAGTTCCCGGGCTCCTATCCCGGGGGTGGACTTTGGTAATGGATACCTTGGGATGGGGATTACCGTGCCCTCCGGATGGTCCAGGAAATATGGGACCAGAACTGGAGATGTCACTGTTGGGATTGCACTTGAATCAAAATCTCGTTTGTTTGGACTACATGACAGGTATCGGTAAAAACATTAAATATGAAAAAGTGGTCAAAATGCAAACATGTTAGCGTATTAGGTCACGTATTACAAGCAACACA